TGCGCTGGGAATGCCCCATCCGAAATGCTAATGACCAACACCTAGGTGCATGCTGTATTGAGCAGGGGACATATGCAACCTCACACTTCTGTGAACATGTCTGCAGGGATAACTGAGTGTGGAATTTCTCAAAGGCCACGTGCTCTCCTTACTTCGGTGGAGGAGTCCAGCGCTCCCACAGGCTCCCCGATCACTTGCCCACTACAGCAGCGAGTGTCTGTCGGCCCACAATCTCAGCCTCTCAGTGTGATCAAGTTTTTTTATCTTTGCCAATTTGTTAGGAGAAAGAAAATAAAAGTCATCTCAGTGTTTTTTAATTGCATTTCTCTAAGGAGAGGTGGATGCCTATTCCCATTCATTTGCATAGCCTTTTTCAGGAATCGCATGGCTGGGTATTCTTTGATCATTTCCTGTCGCAAAGTTGGTGTTATTGATTTGTAGGAGCTCTTTATTATTGAACTTTTTCTCACTGATCTTAAGATTAACCCTTTGCCATATAAGTTGCAAGCATCCCCCCCTGCTTTTTTCTTCCCTTCTTTTTTTTTTACTTTGCTTATGCAGTTTTACTCTGCAGAAAGCCTTTTCACGTAGTTGAATTTCTTAGTCTTCCTCCAACATCTTCTAGGTTTTGTCATTCTTAGAAAAGCCTTCTCTTCCCCAAGACTCTGAAAAAGTTTCCCCAAGTTTTCTTCTAGCGCTTTTATCATCTCCCTTTTTCCGCTTAAATCTTTAATCTGTTTGGAATCTACCCGGCGTAAACTCTGAGAAGTTGATCCCACTCACCGATGTGAACCGCCACCTTTACCGTACACTAAATTCCCAAATGTACGAAGAGCTTTTTCATCTTTCCACAAAAGTGCATTTTCCACACACTCTCGCAGCGGCTTTGGGATGTGAAGGACCGTGAAGGGCCCACGCGCGTCGGACTCCGCGGGTCCCGCCAGCGCCCCTCCTCCGCGGGACCCCTCCTCCTCGGTGAACGTGAGCCGCCCCGTGGAGCCCCCAGCCCCTCTAGCAAGAATTCGGGGCCCTCTGCTACTCCCCCGCCGCCTCGCAGCTCCTGCGCGTTCCAATCACGCCCCGCGCGACCCCTCCTTCCCGCGTCACTCCTGCCTCCTACTCCCCCGCGCCCACGTGACCCTTCATCCCGGCCCGGCCAGTCCGCCAGCC